CCTTCCACTCCCCGCATCTCAAGCCGGCGCAATATGTCGGAAAGTTGAAAGGAATGCGGCAGATTTTGTGGGAGAGGGGGCTCCTGGTCAAAGGCATGAGTCAGACGGGGGGCTCGGGCGAAAAGCAGGACCTCAGCAAGGGCATGGAGCACGTTTTGGGAGAGCAGAAGGACTTCAAGGAAGTTGATTCTAGTCTGGTGCTGTTGATGCAGCGCCACGGGGGGGCCTGTCTCATGCTTCCTAAGTACCACTGCGAGTGTAACCCCATCGAGCTTGTTTGGGGCCGAGCGAAGGACTGGACTCGAAAGAACTGCAAATATTCGTTGGAATGCTTGCGCAAGAACGTGCCGCTGAGTTTTAGACCAGAGAAGGATAGACAGGCTGTTTCGGTAGTCCAGGGCTACTGCAAGAAGGCGTACACACACGCCCTCATGTACCGCGAGACGCGTGTGCAAGGGCCTGAGGGCAAGAAGACGTACAAGAAGTACAAGTCGCACAGGCGCCCGACCCCGAAGGAATGGAGGCCGTAGAGTCGATGGCGCATTCTTGTTCATTGAGCTGTATTTGTTCAGTTTTTTTCCGTGTTTCTGGTGGGAACGTTGTACAAAAATGGAACACTTTTGTTGAAAACGGCCAATTTTTGTGATGTATTTACGCTATAGGTGCGGTAGAGGCATTTGCATAGTGTTTGAGGGCATTCCTGTGCACGTGTGGGTGGTTTGGTGCGAAAAAAAAAAAAAGGATTAGCAACATATATGGGGGAAAAGTTGCTCTAGGGCCAATTTCGTGGGTTCGAGACCCGCCGCGAGCATCTTTTTTTCTCTTTTTTCTCTTTTTTTCCTTTTTTTTTTTTGCGACTCGCTACTCTTTTGCGCCTTGCCGCGGGCGTTCCGAAGCTGTTTTTCTTTTTCTTTCACTCGCTCTCAGTCAAAAGTTATGGAGGGACAACCAAAATCGGGTCCTTGAAAATTACCACTTTAGAGATGGACTCGTTGCATCATATTGATGAAGAAAAAATACATAAATAACAGATACCGCACCGACCGTTAGAGAAAAGAGCCCTCGGAAACCGATCAAGATGACACAAAAACCAAAAAAAAGGAGAAGAACGCCTCCCACACCCGCCTGAAGAAAAAATCAAAGGGTAACGTACCAGCACCAGGCACTACGCACCAGGGCATGGGAGTAACGGAGCAAACAGGACAAAAAGGCGGCAGATGGGCAGACAGCCGGATGTACAAAAACAAAAGCACAAAAGCGAGATCAAGGTACCCAACACAGCAGAGTAGGCAGGGAGGACATGAACAAAAAGAAGCACAGCACAGGTACATAGTTCGCCACAAGTGCTGCCTCGGCCGCCCTACTCGCTTCTACAGCAATGCCCGGTCGCCGTTTCTTCCCCCCCACCGCCGCTTCCCCGACTCTCTTTCTCTCCGGTCCTGAGGTGGCTGTATTCTCTGCTTCTGCTTCCCTCGCGCGCTGGCGCTTCGCGGACGCTTCCGCCTCCTGCCTGTGCCATTTCCTCATGAGCCATGCCGTCCCGTCCTCGACCTTGTTGTACCACACCTCCGGGTCCTTGGTGCTCGCTTTCCATATGTCCCCTTCCTTTTCGTCTCCAATGTTGAAGGCCACGAGGTCCCCTCCTTCGTCAAACCTATTGAACCCCCCATGTTCCTCCATTCGTTGGATCGTTGGAGAAAATATTATTCTAGCATAATTCATCACGTACTTGCGTGTGGTGCGAGAACCGTACGCCAGACATCACCCACTGAAAGGTACAGGTCAGCACATGCGTGGCCACGGTATACACTCATAAGAACAGCGCCCGTCCTAACCGCCTGTCGAAGAGAAGGAGAGATTTTTTTTTATTCGATGACACTGCTGTAGTAGACGATGACCTCAACAACAACAACAGCAGGCTTTCCCTTTCCACGGATTAATCTCTTTATAAAAAACAAAAATAGTCTAGAGATGGATTTGTTGTGTGATTAATTAAGAAAAATAAGCAAAAGAGGGGAAGATAGAGAAAAGGAGGGGTCGGGCGGCGCGTAGGCTAGCCAAGAGAGCAGCGCGCGCCGCGCGAAGGAGACAGCAGGGTCAACTTCTTAGGGTAGCAACCTGGAATGTGCGGACTTTGGCTGTAAACGGGGCCAATGGATACGGGCGAGCTTACAGCGTTCTACACGAGGCCGCGAGACAAGACGAATCGGTGGTGGGAGACGCGGAGGGCAGGTCGAACGGAATTTGCAGCAGCGGGTTCCCGGGTGTTCTGCTGTGACACGGAGACTGGTGGAGTCCATGGTGTGGGGATAGCCGTCAAAGAGTCACTGGGCAAGACATCCACGTTCACTACGGAGTTTATCGACGAACGCCTTATGGCCATGAGGTTTCTGTTGGCAGGCCAGTGGAGCGGTCAACTTCGTAGCCGCGAATGCTCCAATCCAACCTTCAACCGGCGACAGCAAGCGCTTGTTCTGGGGAAAACTTGACAGTCTCGTGCGGAGGATCCCTTCCGAAGAATGTGTGTATGTCCTACTGGACGCCAACGCGCGGACGGGAGATAGGTTGGACGGAGGGGACGGAAGGGTAATAGGAATGTACGGGCGTGATGAGCTCAACGACAATGGCATGCTACTGTCTAACTTCGCAACGGAAAACAGGCTAGCTCTCACGAACACGTTCCTTGAGACACGCAAGGGCGTAATATGGCACACATACAACGNTGTCGGGAAACGATTGCAAGCGCCTTGACTACATCCTGACAAGGCAGGCACATCACGGCCGAGTATCTAACGTGGTCGTCATCCCCCAGCCGGTTCGCCCAGTCAAAGCAGACTCAGACGACAATATGGTAGTAGCCACCGTCAACCTCGGTGGCAGGCTTTGCCCACAACCGTGCAGTCCGGACTAAACTGAAACAGAAGCAATCCAACCGACAGTTATTGCAGTTTGAAGCAACGGTGTGCGGTGACTAATCGGTTCCTCCTCAACCTCGACACACGACTGGACGAGCGAACAACCACCGCCGCGGAATTGG